TTACAATGAATAATTATATCATAATAAATATACGTAGACATCCGATAAGGGGTCGTTCACATATTACGTAATCAATATTTTAGCAATTTTTACCCCCCTCCCGTCCCCCCTTCCGTAATCAACCGTAATCAAGACCCAACCCCCCACCCCTCCTGACAGCAATATTACGTAATCATGGCCTGACCCCCCCCCCCCCCCCCCCCTTGACTTTTTTCCTAGAAAACACTTTTCTCCACGTTTCATCATTGTTATGATATCCGGTCAAGCACTACTTACTATTTAAATAGCCGTATATTCGATCAATTTCTAAATTTTATCACTATCAGAGTGAAATTGAGTGGAATTTGAATTAAAATATTGTCAAATTGTTATTATTCTAGAGGGTAAAAAGAAAATTTTGATTACGTAATCAACGGCCAAAACCCCCCTCCCCGTAATCAATTGTAAGCATTTGGAAACCCCCCCTCCCCCCTCGGCTGATTACATAATATGTGAACGACCCCTCATAAACTTGTTACATTCAGTACAACCCAAGATGTCAGCCGACTAACAAAATTTTTTTTAAAAAGCTAGCATGTTCATAATTTTTCTAACGAGCATACTTAGGCTGTACGGAAATAGCTTTAATTCTACGTCATATTAAAAACTTTACATCATTTTTGCGATACAAAAATAAATTTTAAAATAAATAACTCTTTTGCTGCTTAGGCGCGGCACCGCGCTTGACCCACATGCTATACAGCGTGTAGCAACACAGCGCTGAAAACAGAAAATGAAGAAGCTATAACATATAAGCGGAGCGCCGCGCCTAAACCTAAAACCATAAACTTTAAATATTGTCAATCTAGGTAAACTATAGGTAAAAATATAATATTAATCATAAGCTAAAATGTACTAATCTTTGTATTCTAAATGGGGAACAGAACATGTAGAGACCAATGAACAAGCTGAAGAAGAAAGTACTAACGAACCTATGTCCAATGAACCTATGTCGCCCAATATGGCCTCCCCAAATCCTAATAATCAGAAAGTATTAAACTCAACCAATTCTATCAAACCTCCATCATCTTCTTCGAGATATGACTTTCGGCGCCACATCAGAACAGAGAAACCCTTGTTAAATAGACCTCAAGTCCTAGAAGTAAACATCAATCATAAAACAAGAGTCGATAAGAAGAAAAAATGTAGACCAAATGAGAAGGAGAAGATAGATGACATATGTCCTATATGTAAAACCAGAGTTGAATGGCATGTAGATGCTTTGCAGTGTGAGGAGTGCGAGGTTTGGATTCATAAGGCCTGCTTGTGTATGAGTGATGAAGAGTATTTTTTTTTTATTTGAAAATTCAATTAATCATTATATATATAAATCAAGCGTTACATTTCAGCCATGCAAAATTACAATGACATATTTTGATATACTAAATGGTAAATGGTACTGCAATATAAGTTGCTTAATGTTTGGCCGGATGACAACTAAAGAGAAAAATAAACTTGATTATATAATAATTAATTCGGCTGAACCAACACATAGCAAGAGCCACATTAACGTTGGGGCCGTCTACCAAATTTGAATGGCAAACATTAACAAGAAATCAAACATATCATAAATAATTATAAGGATTTTGTTCATTACAATTCCGTCACAACTGATAAAGAAAAAAGAAAAGGACAAGCAGATAGGAAATTGGACGGACAGAATTGTAACCAACAAAAACAAATTTCTGAGACTCATAAGACTGATGAGCTAATCTGGCCAGACTGTATCGGCAGCCCAGAGGTACTTGATCAGTTTGACCTTAAAAGTAGAAATCCGCTCTGACTGCCGGATACATACTGGTAGACTATTCCATTTCAGCATAGATCTATGAAAAAAGCTATTTCGGAAGGCATCCGAGCAGGGCACAGTGGTACTCATGTAAGTTGAAGTATCCGACATATCAATTATTTGAGCATTGTGCCTAGTGTATCGGGTGCCCTCTGGACGGCATAGGACTATATATGTAGGGAGCGAAACTGGAATTATGCTATTCACTATTTTATAGAAGGTCATAAGATCGTTATAAATAAACTTCTGTTTAACAGGGAGAATATTTAGTTTCTTTTGCTCTGTAGCAAGTCTATCGTCATTATAACTGGAGTAAGGTTCACCATTGATCCATTTAATAGCCCTCTTTTGGATAGCAACAAACTGTTGAAGATGAGTTGCAGATTGAGGGGACCATATGACAGAACAATGTTCAAATATAGACCTAATTAACGCTAAATAGAACGATCTTTTCTGCCTTTTATCAGTAGTGAAATGACATGTTCTCTTAAGTAGTCCAAGTCTAGAGGTAGCTTTGGAAACAAGCGCTTTACATTGTGCACCCCAATTAAACCTGGAGTTTATTGCGACTCCTAAATCTGACTGAGAGGGCACAAAGTCAATATCACTTCCAGAAAGTTTATAAAAGAAGGTATTGAATGGCAAGTTATCCAGCACGTTTCTTTGCAGGGACACAGAGAGGGCTTTGCACTTTTGTGGGTGGAACTTCATTCGATTTCTCACTGACCAATCATATAATCTGTTGATGTCATTTTGGATTATGTGATGGTCAGGGTAACCAAGGATCTCCCTCCAAATTTTAGTGTCATCTGCATAAAGGGCGATATTGGTGCCTTGAGAGACACAGGAGAACATGTCATTTATAAATATTACAAACAATAAAGGGCCAAGTATAGAACCTTGAGGGACACCAGACCGAACTGGTAGAGAAGAAGACGTTTGGCCTCCTATCACTACTTGTTGTTGTCGCCCCTCAAGATAGGACTTAATGAATTTAAGCATTAGTCCATCGACATTAAAAATATTCTTTAATTTACTTAAAATGAGGTCATGCGAAACGCTATCAAAAGCTTTCGCAAAATCAAAATATATTATATCAGTCCTGGACCTGTTATTCAATGCAAGTGCAAGATTGTCCGTGAAAGGTATCATTTGGGTTGTGCATGAACGTTCATTAACAAAACCGTGTTGTCGGTCATCCAACAGATCAGAACATGCAGCGTATAATGCAGTCTTTATGCACCTTTCAAAGACTTTCATTACAAGAGATGTTAACGAGATAGGCCTGTAGTTCTCAACCGAAGACTTATCGCCCTTTTTGTGCACTGGTACTACAAGTGCCAGCTTCCAATCAGGGGGTATGCATCCGCTCGAGAAAGACAGGTTAAATAAAACACTAAGTGGGTATGCAAGGCTTTGGGCACAGTTTTTGAGGACTCTCCCATGAATCCCATCAGGGCCAGGGGCCTTGTTAGGATTTAACTTTTTAAGAATCAACAGAACATCTTCTCTACTAAACACAAGACTTGAAAAACAATCATCACGAAAATCTATGTCAATGCCATAATCGCTCTCTTGAGAAAACTGCTCATAAAAATATTCGTTAAAAAGGGCAGCTTGATCAGATGGATTGTTTCGAAAGCGATTATGATATTTGACAGTTTCAGGGATCCTGGTTGACTTTGATTTAGATTTAACGTAGGTCCAGAATTTCTTGGAGATAAGAGCATCATCAGAGTCATCCTCAACACTGAGTCTCATTCTTTCGTCCATCAAATTTTTAAATTTTGTGCGAAATGCACGAAACTTTTGTTTATGAGACTCAGAGTTGCTCCCCTTATGCCTTATTCTCCATTTCTCCTTATTTCGTAGGAGACGATCACATTCGGAGTCATACCATGGGGGCTGGAACTGAGACTTAATGGTCTTTTTAGGGATCCATCGGTCACAGGCTGCACCGAGAACTCCTCTGAATCGACTCCAGGCAAGATAAGGATCATTACACTCAAATATACTATCCCAATCGATGCTAAATAACTCAGTTAAACAAAAATTTCAGTTAAACAAAAATTTCAATTTTATGCCATTTATTACAGATTAAACAAGTTTACAATAAATCAATTTGATATTTAACGGAATCCTAATTCAATGTGCAGTATGGTTGTCACTCTTTAAATAGATTAGATATAGGTTGACGGGGCAAAGGAGTGTGCGTGCTGTTCGCTATTGCTCACACCAAACGGCAACCTAGTAAATGTTTTGTATGAACACCGGTCTCCATCACGACACAAAATTAGGATTGTAGAATTTATTGAATAACTATTAGTGCAGTGGAGGTAGCGGTGTGGTGCATTAATAGAGTGACAGCCTACTGATTTAGAGTTGTTTTTAAGTGAGCATAATGGGTGTATTTTTGGATCTAATGGCAACTTTAAAATTTGTTCTTTTAATCATTTATTAAATATCAGTTTAAAAATATATAAATCTGGAATCTGTTCACTCTGTGAACCAGTCCTATAAAAATTTCAAAAACCCTCCTAAATTAAATATTAAAAACGTCTCAGTAATGGAAATAGTCATACAATTAAGAAATTATCCAAATTCTTAATATCTACCTAAGAGAAAAATACCTACCTAAGTCAATTTCTACCTGTAATACACTAAATATTAGGTTAAATACATAGGTGGTGGAGTCAGCACACATTTACAAAAATCAAAATTGTTTAATAGGAGGAGCCTGTGGGCCGAGATCACTGGATTAAATTTGATGAAGGGGATTGTTTTCAAATGACAGCTGCATTATGTCATAATCGCTTGTGGTCCATGCCGAATCATTATAAGCATGTTGCAGCTTTAGAAGTGCCTTTTTCAGGCGACTTTTAGCAAGGCTAATCTTGTAGGAGTAGTCAAAGAGCTTAAGTTTAGGTGCAATTGTGTTCCAAATTTTGGTGGATCTTGATATAAAGTCATTAGATGGGAGTTGTGAAATGATAGTGGTTTCCTTTCTAGAAGATGACTGATAATGCTGTTGCAGTGATGCTGGGCACCTTAGTTTTAGTATTTTAAAAACTTCCATAAATGTGTGATATGTATATAAATTTTTGAAAGCCAGGATGTTTTGTTGCTTGAAAAGTGGTTTACAGTGCTCTAGTTGGAAGAATGTATGGTCAAGTGCCTGGCTGTCAAACTCTCTTGTTCTTGCACATGTAAGGAACTTGTTTAGGTATGCCTCTTTATCACCAAAGAGGACCCGTACACAGTGCTTCTGAGACAGCCAGATACTTGCTGTCCTAAAGAGTGCTGCATCACCCCAAACTGAGATACAATATGTGAGGTGGGATTCAAATAGTGTGTGGTAGAGGTCTTTATGGAGTTCCTTTGGTACAGAGTCCCTAATTCTATTTAAGGTGGCAGAGGCATAGTTTAACTTTCGTTTAAGTGCTGTTATATGAGGCCCCCAGGAAAGCTGTTCGTCAATAACAACTCCAAGAAACTTAGTTGCTTTGGTTTTTTTAATTGGAAAGCCATCAATATGGAGTTGAAGCGAATCTGGCAATTCTACTGGTTTACTAGCCTTTGGTTCAAAATGCATATAACAGCACTTTGACATGTTGATGTGAAGTTTGTTAAGGATCATATACTTTTTTATACAGCTTAGCAATTTGTTGCCTTTCTCATAAGCTTCTTCTACAGTTTTTCCATCAATAAAAGTGTTGGTGTCGTCAGCAAATAGTATGAAAGTTCCTAAATCCGAGGAATTGGCAATATCATTTATGTATAGAAGAAAAAGGAGCGGTCCCAAAACAGAGCCTTGTGGAACTCCATATTTAATGATAAGGTTTTCGGATTTTTCATTAAGGACTTCTGTATACTGTGTTCTATTTGATAAGTAGCTTTTAATAAGACAGTTTGCATTGCCTCTTATTCCATACCTATCTAGTTTTGTTAGGAGTGTACTATGGTCGATTGTATCAAATGCTTTACTCAAATCTATAAATATTCCTAGAACATGGTTTCGTTTTTTTATGCTATCTTCAATAATCCTAACAGAGTAGTTAACAGCATGGCTAGTAGAATGGGACTTGCGGAAGCCAAATTGGTTTTCATCAAGGATATTTTGTGACAGAGCGAAACTGTAGATACGGCTGTATATCACTTTTTCAAATATCTTACCAAATATAGGCAGTGTAGAGACAGGTCTGTAGTTTCCTACATCCTCTTGGTTTCCTTTCTTAAATATGGGAGTAACTTTCCCAACTTTCAAAACATCAGGAAATACCCCGCTCATCATGAGTTTGTTGAAATGTTGGGCTAAAACAGGGCAGATTAAATGAGCTGACTTTTTGATTATACGGATCGGAATATCACTAGATTTGCCATTTTCCAACTTGGAAATTATTTCCATGAGCTCAGTATGTGAACAGTCAGATAGGAATATAGAGTTATTGTTGGATGGCAGGAGGTAGTCTTCAAATGTTGAAAATTCAGAAGCCTGTATAGGCAGGTCAGCTATTGATTCATTTAGAGTGGAGGCAATTGAGTTAAAGTATTTGTTGAACTCGTTTGCAATAACCCTTCTATCTGTTATTTTTCTGTTGTCGATTATAAATGAGGGTTTTATAGTTTTTTTACACTTCCCTCTAAGTTCATTAATGATCTGCCATGTCTTCTTACGGTCGTGCTTATTTTCTATGATTTGGTTGCAAGAGTAAGTATTTTTTGCAGAGTTAATTACAGATTTGAGGATCCTTCGGTATACTTTGAAGGTTTGTTCGAGAACATGGTCTCCATCAGGGTTTGCCTTAGTTTTAGATGTAATCCAGTTATCTTTTAATTCATGTTTTTTTTCAACGGCTGCTGAGATACTATCTGTTATCCAGGGGTTATTGATAGGATTCCGTTTAGTAGTTTTTGGCTTTACAAGTTTGCATGTTGCATCAAGTACACGATCAAATAATTTAGTAAAATCCGAGAATTCATGAGAAGTGTTGAGCTTTGAGAGGTCAGTGTTCAGTAGGGTTAGGAATTTATTAAGGTTGGCATTACTGAAGTCGTAGTACTGGACATGTTTTTCACTTTTTGGACCAACCTCAAATTCGATGTCAGTGAATTCAAATGTTGGAGCATGGTCACCAATTCTATCTGTTATACAACCTGAGAGAACACAGTTACCAGGGTCATTCGTGAGGATGTTGTCAATACAAGATGGTTTGCAATTTGGTCTCTCATGTGTAGGTATCGAAATAACGGGAGCGAAACCATTTCTAAATAAGCATTCTTCAAAAAGAGTATAGTTGCCATGACCAGCATCACCATTCACTTTAAGAAGGTCAACATTAAAGTCCCCCATTATACGTACACCAGATTTAGGGAGGAGTTTACATATGTGATCAAATGATTTAAGGAAATTATGAATGTCACCATTAGGAGGGCGATAGATGACCCCTGAGATGAGTGTGAGCTTGCTGGATGATTGAGTGATCTTAACAAAGATTGATTCAATATCAGGCGTGCAGTAGCCAAGATTTTCTATGACTTCTGCATTAAGGTGATTTGCTACATACAGGGCAACACCAGTCCCTTTCAGCTTGTTCTCCTGAGTGACCTGATAAAAACTGTTGTATTGCGGTATTCTGTATAGTTCTTTAAGAGGTTCATCTGTGTTTGTTTCAGCGATACCAATTACAGAGAAATTTAGTTCAATCCGTTTGAGTTCAACATTAAGACAATCGAAGTTGGTTTTGTTACCATCTAAGTTGACAAAGTAGGATGTGAATTTTGAGTGTGTGGATGAAGGATTACATGAGTTTTGAAGCTCCCTGACTACCCTATTAAGATCAGTTGTAGAGTAGCTCTGACATTGGTCTAGAACATTCGAAATTTTGTGAATAGTTTCGTCATCACATCCACCTTCATCATCGTAGAATTTATCACCACCATCACTAATCATCCCAGAGAAGGGGTTGTAGCGTGGTATCACGTTCAGTGAACAAACCTTACATACCCATAGACCATTGGTGGGGCAGAAACCTGCTGCTTTAAAACATTTAGTATGAATAGCTGTCCGACAGGCTTCACATTCCAGTAGGGGCTGCCCAATGTTGATGGGCCTTGAGCATGGCTCACAGACCTCCTTAATTAATTTCATGATCATAGTTATGTGTCGGTTAGGTTGGACCAGTGGATCCAACCCTCTGTGCTGACTCCCTAGACACCTCAGAATTCAGGCCCCTAAAATTACCTTTACTATAATTAAAGATCTTTCTTTTAGGCTGCTTAATATACTTGGTCTTAATATCAATGTCAAATGTGATACAAAAGTGGTCGGACATACACATTTCGTTTTGATCTAAAACTTTAACATTCTTAATAAGGTTTTGAATGTTAGTGAACACAAGATCTAAGGTGTTGCCTGACTTGTGAGTAGGGGAGCTAATAAGTTGTGTATGTCCGAGGTAGGTCATCAGTAAGGTCATCAGTGAGAAAATTAACAAAGCTAGAATGTAGCTGGCAAGATGACTGACCATCTGGCCAGGAAATCGAAGCCAAATTAAAGTCACCTACCAGAATGTGCCTTTGCAATTTTCTGGCAGATGCTAAAGTAACAAAATGTTTCTTGAAAGATTCAAAATTATCTAAGCCAAGCGTTCCTACTCTATAAAATGTTGATATACAAAAGTTTCTTCCACACTGAGTCTTAATTATGATGGATAATAATTCAGCTTGAACACTAACTTTAGAGAACTTTAGAGAACTTTAGACTCGAGATATCAATGTCTGTTCTATGGGCAATCAGAACACCACCACTGTTTTTTCTGAATTTCTTGGGCTGGGTTGCATCCACTGGATGCGATCTTAAGGATCGGTCAAGCCTAAATACTTTGTATTTGTCAGGGAGCACCTCATTACTGAGAATGGAATTTTTCAGCCATGTCTCGTTTAGAATAATGATGTGAGGCTTATGTTTGTAGATATAACCATGGAATTCATGTATCTTGGTCATATTTAGTGGTGGTGTTCCTGATGCTAAATCGCGTGTATTTAGGAAACCATGGACATTATTGTAAACAACGGATAAATTTGGTCCAGGGTTCAGTAAGGAACAATTACAAATTACTATCAGGGAAATATTAAGGAGAGATAGAAAAACCAGACCACACCTAGACATGACCCCAAGCCAGCTGCTGGTTATACCGAAAAGTAACTTAACAGTCTGTTTCGGTGACATGGTAGGTGACAGTTCGGTTTTTGTGGTAGATAGCTCAATTTTACAGAAATTGCAGCTAAGGCTGTCCCAATGCCCCCTCCCCCCTATACACAAGTTTAAAGTGTCTGAGAAAAATGGTACAAAATATTACCATAAAGTAAAGATTTATGGATGACCTCAAACATGGTACAGAGTGTATTTTAGGTTGTAGGGGAGCACCAGGGAGTATATTAGCATCGATAGTCAAAGAAAATATATACAAAATAACATAAAAATAAAATATACCCAATAGAGCACATAACATATGACGAGACAGAAGACAGGACAACAAATTTTCCCCATTACCTCTATTACTTTTACTGATGATAACATACCTAGAAAACATACCAGTTGCAACACGGTGTTGTTGAGCCGATATTCCCATGGAACTTTAAAGTATATTATTAACAGAATTGTGTCTCGCCGTTGTGTTTTGTTAGGTATTGTGCTATAATATGAAGTAACATACATTATGCTATCACTTCGTTTGAATACATATAAATAACATCCAAATGATCAGATCCAATAGGATACTGATGCAGACAATGAAAAATTTAAATATTGAATTGAATTACCACATCAGTATCCCAATGGATTAAACCACTTTGAGTGTATGATTCTGAGATAGAACTTTGCCAACACTGGCATCCCAGCCTTGGGGCTGGGATGAATGTCATAAAAGCCCCTATTGTCACATTTAGGAAATAATCTCTCGTTTCTGTTTCCATAGCGGTCTAAGAAAGCCCAAAAAACATCAAGGTAAAACAGTTTATGCCTAGAGCAGCGATCAAAGATCAAATTATTCATAGCACAAACATTACCAGGGATTTTATCTTGTCCGTTCGGGTGGACTGGTGGAATAGCTTGTACAAAAACACGTGCATTTGGATAAAGTTTTTTTGCTGTCTTCATAAGGTCACTCACAGGGGTCTTGAGATGATTGACACCCTGGGTACAGTACCGGATGTCGTTGGCACCGAAGCTTAAGAACAGTTTCTTTACCTGCACAAGAGGGTTCTTTGTATGAAAGGCCTCAATAGATTTCTGTATAGCTGAGATCTTAAGCCCACCCTTAGCTATGTTGGTGACAGTTTCTTTACCTCTACTGAGGCGATCAGCGTCCAATCGAGCAGCAAAGGAGTCACCAGCAATGAGGATGATAGACTTCTGGTGTTTTTGAGAGTCTGTGATGGGAGCTTTTGGGGGTACCTTATTAGGACTGTCGGATGTAGGAGAGGGAAGAATAGGAGATGAAGGGGAAGAGAAAGGTGTGGTTAACTTTCTGAAGGAGAGACTATACCTCCAACAAATTTCATTGTCAGAAGGTGCAACTCCTGGGGCAATCCTGTGCCTCATGACTTGCTGTGCACCAGGCTTCATGATGTTCAGTGTGCCATTGGTGGCAGGAAGGGTGAAGTCTGCGTTAATCAACTCTTGGGCTGGCCTTGACCTAGAGGCCCTAGTTGTGCGTTGTTCTACTTGGGTTGTATCGAGCACAAACTCAAGTGACCGCGGAGCCCCTATTGAGTAAGTGCAAATGGAGCTGGACTGTGATATTATTAGGTCTTCATCGTCTTTATGGAGGCTTAACTTAGCTTGCTGAGTGTCGTACCTAGTAACAAGGCAAGCATCCATGTTGTTGGTGGTGGAGGGGAGGTCATTAATAAGTCCCATCAACTTAAAGATGCTAGGGAAGTTGTTGATGGGATGTGGCTTGTTGACTATGTTACCAAAGCAGTAGTCTTCTGATGAAGGGCTTAGCCATAGGGTGTGGACTTTATTAGATTTGCCTTCAAGATTCATTGAATCTAATTCTTCTTTGATTTTCTGGAATAGATTTTCATCCATTCCAGGGAGAACTGGAACGTGCTCTACGAGCGTATGTGGGCTATACGAGACATTTTGAACAGAAGTTTCCTTCTTCGTTTTCTTTTCCTTCTTCTTTTCATCTATACGTACTATTTTAGAAGCAAGCTTTTTCTCTTTCAGACTGTCCAGGATACTCTGAGTAAGGAGGGTATGCATGTGTTGCTTTACTTCAAGAGATAAGTTTTGCAGTAAGGCGAGGAAGTTGGCGGGCAGTGTTGGCATCTTGTTGTGGAGTGTGGGAGGATCGGGAGGAGACTGGGTGATCCGGATAAGAGATCAACAGCAGGATGTTTCAGTGGCACCGTTGTAAACCCTAGCAATCTGGATCTGAAACAGTTAATAGGCCAGAGATTTATAGTTCAGAGTGAAAAAAATTTGAATTATAATGAACAGAGGTGTTGTAAAGAACTCAAGAACTGTATAGCAGAAAAAAGAATGCAATACTTATCTAAAGGAGAAGTAGCTAAAAGGAGTTACTAAATTTCAAACATCACTAGATCTCTAACAATAAAACTAACCTCGTACCAGACCGCAGGAGCCCTGGTAGTACAAGACTACCAGGGCAATAGGAAGAAACGATTACCACCTCCACAACCTGCCATCTAACTCAGATCCATCACACCCAGGACACCGGCAGACTTTACTCCAACGGATTACTCATCGGTAGCCATACCTAGGATATAAAAACCAGTGAAGATGATGAATGGTATTGTGACTGCTGCCAGTTGAATAGATCAAATAATTTGACGTGGGGTACCATGGTTGGGGAAGGGTGTATACGGTCAGAACTTACGGGGATATATGATGAAATTATTACGTGGTGTAGGAATTTGTTTATGGTGCCAAGGGGTAAGAGTGGGGAGAAGTTTATCAAAGAGTTGACACGACTTTTGTACCTTTTTGTGAATAAAACGGCCTGGGAGAGTCTTTCATTGCAGCTAGTCCATATATTTATCCCTATTATGTTACAGAAGCCTTCATCTAAGTCAAAAGCTAGAGACAATGCCAAGTACCTGGTAGATAGACTAGAAAAGTGGAAGGATGGCGACCTCAATTCCCTCATGGATGAAGCTCGTGTCATCCAGGAGAAGCTAAAACGAAGGAAAAAGTCTGAAGATCCATCGAAAATGAAAGGCTTTAGTAGGTTAATGATGGTGGGTAAAGTATGTCAGGCCATGAAGCTCATCAACAACGAAGACTCAGTTGTTGGGGTACACACATTAAATAGAAAGATAAAGAGTCTATTACAAGAGAAACATCCTAAAGCTGAGACACCTCCAGCTGATATCCTTCTACCTATAACAGCGCCTCAGGCACAGTCGGTGATATTTGCTGAAATATCGGCAGAGCTAGTTGAGAAAGCGGCACTTCATGTTAAGGGCTCAGGTGGCCCAACCCATTTGGATGCAGATGGGTGGAAAGGCCTCCCCCAGCCTCGGATCTTAGGATTAGATTTGCAAAAATTCCTGAGACACAGGTGCAAAAGTTAAGACAGCAGAATAATCCTAAGACAGCAGAATAATCCTAAGACAAAATTTAAGAAATCCTGAGACAGCGAAAAATCCTGAGACAAAATTTAAGAAATCCCGAGACAGCGAAAAAACCTGAGACAAAATTTAAGAAATCCTGAGACAGCGAAAAAACCTGAGACAAAATTTAAGAAATCCCGAGACAGCGAAAAAACCTAAGACAAAATTTAAGAATCCTGAGACGCGCGAAAAAACCTGAGACAAAATTTAAGAAATCCCGAGACAGCGAAAAATCCTGAGACAAAATTTAAGAAAACCTGAGACAGCGAAAAAATTTTAGATACAATTTATACAATAGCCACAAGAATATACATGGATATTACATCTTTTAATTTCTTGCAAAGAATATAATAAATACAATATTACTAGGTATAGTAGGAATGTCAATAAGTCAATAGAATTTGTCTGAAACCTCTATGTGCCTGCTAATGAAGTGAGTATCCCAGATCATATCTTTACTGGTAGGACTGTATAATGGGGGCCCGATGTTATAGCTTTATAGCGGACATCATCTCCCCCCCCCCCCCCCCCCCCCTTACCCCTTCTTACCCCCAGTTCCATAGCGGATATTATGCCAAATTATTGGACGGAGATCGTCAACTAATATTTCTTCGGATATTTCTCCGGTTTGCAGTTCCATAACCTTATCCGGAGACCATCTACGGTAATTTTGTTGATTCTCACAGAGCAAAGTGCAAAGAAACTGCCGCAAACTGCTACAATCTCCGAGAAATATACTTATTGAGTTATTGACTAGCTTGCTAAAATTCATCGTCAAATTACCGCTGCTCGAGTTACCTAGCCAGGCCCATTTCAGTTTTGAGTACTGGAGTCGGTTATCTAATCAAAGCCTAGCTTTTTTGTAACTTGCAAGTGCTTTTGCGGATTGTCGTGGATTTCGGCAACTAGTCGTGGATTTCGGCAATATTTTCAGATTATTCTTCAATGTCCTCAAACCTGAGCACTGGGACTACTTAAGTTTTTGCTACTATCTGAATTATTTGCTCAAGCTACTGGCTCGCTAGGTTCAAAGGTTTATTTCCTATTTATCATGAAAAAAAAATTGTGCTGGGTAAAAGTTTACACGGTGTTCACGCAGGTTAGAACTCCCGACCTCGCGCAGAGCTAGCCGATCGCCTGGCCGCTAAGCTACTCGGGTGATGTACTCATGAAATTTTTGATGTAATTATATATTTACCCCTTTTTACCCCCAGTTCCATAGCGGATATTATGCCAAATTATTGGACGAGCAAAGTGCAAAGAAACTGCCACAAACTGCTACAATCTCCGAGAAATTCCCGGAGAGCTTCATCTCCGTATAACTGTATAATACAGTAGACGGAGCCGGAGAATCATCACCGTAGAAATGGACCTCCGTCTAATAATTTGGCATAATATCCGCTATGGAACTGGGGGGTTAATCTGATTAAAAGCTACAAAAAATTCCAGAAATGAGATGGCTGGTTAAAACCTACCTTTGGAAAGCTCTGATGAACCTACCCGTGGAGAAATAAACACACTTAACTTCACCTCAATGGAGCAATAACTATTTATCGCTTATTACTTCATTTATTTTGGATGTACAGTGTGCTTCGTAACTAATTTATTATTACAAAGTTTACTTTCTAATAAGCTAAAACGACAACTAATCTTTCGTTTTACTCCCTACTGTACTGGTTTACTCGTCAATCCAGGTATATGAGAATGTGTGAGAATGGTCTTGAAACTCTGAAAAGAGGGAAGCAGTTTTGGGGACGGGGAGATTGAAGCAGGTGGCCCCCCGGCTTACAATTGACCCCCCATGCAATTACACTGAGTCAATTGATCTCAGTATAATAACATGGGGGTTAATTGTCGGGGGTCAATTGTCGTACTAAGCCCTAGGCTTGCGTCAAGGCGTAACAGATTTGCTGGGCACTGCATGAGAGCTTCTGACCAAGTCATCTCCTCTATCCTCCCCTGGCGACTTACCCAGTCCGGCCGTGGAACTGTGGAAGGAGACCACTCACCTTCCTGGACGTAGTAGCTCGTGACACTGGGCTCCAGTTGGACGACCTTCGAACTGTTATGTGCGATCAAGACGTGTGGAGGCAGACAGTGAATGGGAGTTCGATCGAGGATCGCCGAAAGTAAGTAAGTTGTTCAATCCCCCAGTACCTTTATTATTATAATTACCCTCCTAGGCTCCTACATCCTACCCGTTTTTGATGCTGTAATCTTCCCGTCCCCAAAACCGCTAATTCCCTCTTTTCATAGTTTCAGGACCGTTCTAATACATACTCCTATACCTGAATTGACGAGTAATCCAGTACAGTAGGAAAGTTAACTTTGTAGCTTTTCAGAAAGTTAACTTTGTAGCTTTTTAGAAAGTTCGGAGTAATCACTCAGGTATAGTATCTCACAACGAAGCCCAATCTACATCCAAAATAAATGAAGTTATAAGCAATAAATAGGCAGTTATTGCTCAATTGAGCTGAAGTTAAGTGTGTTTATTTCTCCACGGGCTAGTCCATCGGAGCTTTCCCAAGGTAGGTTTTAACCAATCTCATTTCATGACTGTTTTGTATCCTTTAATCAGATAAGGGAGGGGAAAGTGATGTCCACTATAACATCAGGGCCCCCATTATACAGTCCTACCTGTGAAGCTATGATCTGGGATATTCACCTCATTAGCAGGTACAATCTAGGGCTTAGTACAACAATTAACCCCCATGTTATTATACTGAGATCAATTGACTCAGTGTAATTGCATGGGGGTCAATTGAAAGCCGGGGGGCTTACAATAGGGGGGGGGGGTTCATTTGTCGCCCACCTGCTTCAATCTCCCCGTCCCCAAAACTGCTTCCCTCTTTTCAGAGTTTCAAGACCATTCTCACACATTCTCATATACCTGGATTGACGAGTAAACCAGTACAGTAGGGAGTAAAACGAAAGATTAGTTGTCGTTTTAGCTTATTAGAAAGTAAACTTTGTAATAATAAATTAGTTACGAAGCACACTGTACATCCTAAATAAATGAAGTAATAAGCGATAAATAGTTATTGCTCAATTGAGGTGAAGTTAAGTGTGTTTATTTCTCCACGGGTAGGTTCATCAGAGCTTTCCAAAGGTAGGTTTTAACCAGCCATCTCATTTCTGGAATTTTTTGTAGCTTTTAATCAGATTAACCCCCCAGTTCCATAGCGGATATTATGCCAAATTATTTGACGGAGGTCCATTTCTACGGTGATGATTCTCCGGCTCCGTCTACTGTATTATACGGAGATGAAGCTCTCCGGGAATTTCTCGGAGATTGTAGCAGTTTGTGGCAGTTTCTTTGCACTTTGCTCTGTGAGAATCAACAAAATTACCGTAGATGGTCTCCGGATAAGGTTATGGAACTGCAAACCGGAGAAATATCCGAAGAAATATTAGTTGACGATCTCCGTCCAATAATTTGGCATAATATCCGCTATGGAACTGGGGGTAAAAAGGGGTAAATATATAATTACATCAAAAATTTCATGAGTACATCACCCGAGTAGCTTAGCGGCCAGGCGATCGGCTAGCTCTGCGCGAGGTCGGGAGTTCAAACCTGCGTTTAACACCGTGTAAACTTTTACCCAGCACAATTTTTTTTTTTTCATGATAAATATGAAATAAACCTTTGAACCTAGCGAGCCAGTAGCTTGAGCAAATAATTCAGATAGTAGCAAAAACTTAAGTAGTCCCAGTGCTCAGGTTTGAGGACATTGAAGAATAATCTGAAAATATCGCCGAAATCCACGACTATTTGCCGAAATCCACGACAATCCGCAAAAGCCCTTGCAAGTTACAAAAAAGCTAGGCTTTGACTAGATAACCGACTCTAGTATTCAAAACTGAAATGGGCCTGGCTAGGTAACTCGAGCAGCGGTAATTTGACGATGAATTTTAGCAAGCTAGTCAATAAATAGATTTCTCGGAGATTGTAGCAGTTTGCGGCAGTTTCTTAGCACTTTGCTCTGTGAGAATCAACAAAATTACCGTAGATGGTTTCCGGATAAGGTTATGGAACTGCAAACCGGAGAAATATCCGAAGAAATATTAGTTGACGATCTCCGTCCAATAATTTGGCATAATATCCGCTATGGAACTGGGGGTAAGAAGGGGTAAGGGGGGGGGGGGGGGGATGATGTCCGCTATAACATCGGGCCCCCATTATACAGTCCTACCTGTAAAGATATGATCTGGGATACTCACTTCATTAGCAGGCACATAGAGATTTCAGACAAATTCTATTGACTTATTGACATTCCTACTATACCTAGTAATATTGTATTTATTATATTCTTTGCAAGAAATTAAACGATGTAATATCCATGTATATTCTTGTGGTTATTGTATAAATTGTATCTAAAGATTTTTCGCTGTCTCAGGTTTTCTTAAATTTTGTCTCAGGATTTTTCGCTGTCTCAGGTTTTCTTAAATTTTGTCTCAGGATTTTTTGCTGTCTCGGGATTTCTTAAATTTTGTCTCATGTTTTTTCGCGCGTCTCAGGATTCTTAAATTTTGTCTTAGGTTTTTTCGCTGTCTCGGGATTTCTTAAATTTTGTCTCAGGTTTTTTCGCTGTCTCGGGATTTCTTAAATTTTGTCTCAGGATTTTTCGCTGTCTCAGGATTTCTTAAATTTTGTCTTAGGATTTTTCGCTGTCTTGGGTTTCCTTAAATTTTGTCTCAGGATTTTCCGCTGTCTTAGGTTTCCTTAAATTTTGTCTTAAGAATTTTCGCTGTCTTAGCTTATTTTGACATCTCAGGTTCGCTTAAATTTTGTCTCAGCTTTTTTTGCTGTCTTAGCTTTTCTTAAGCAGTTTGTCTTAGGAATTTTTGCAAATCCAATCCTAAGATCCGAGGCTGGGGGAGGCCTGTGGAAGCACATCTTGTGCTCTAAAGCGTATGGGAAACTTCCTTTTCAACTCTGCGGTGCAATAGCTGAATTTGCAAAGCGTTTGTGTGTAGAGGATGTTAACCCAGAGAGTCTGAATGAGTTTGTGGCCTGTAGACTGGTACCACTGAATAAGGACCTGACGATAAGAGAGGTAATCCTGGTGTACGGCCGGTGGGGGTAGGAGAGGTTCTTCGGTGTATTGTTGGCAAGGTGGTTATTGGGGTAATTAAGGATGATATACAAGAGGCTGCAGGACCTCTTCAGTCATGTGCTGGGCTAGAGTCAGGCATTGAGGCATCCATCAGAGCAGTTAAGAGGACATGGGAAGATCCTAAGACAGAGGCAGTGCTTCTTGTTGATGCTGATAATGCGTTTAACAGGCTTAATCGCAAAGCAGCTATTCACAACATCAGGCAGCTATGTCCTCCGTTTCACCAATACCTGAAAAACACCTATCAGAAATCAGCCAAACTCATTGTCAACGACACATATTCGTGTGAGATAATTTACTCTGATGAAGGGGCAACGCAAGGGGATGTGGCAGCAATGGCAGAGTATGCTATCGGTATTCGTCCTCTTATCAACATCCTGGCCAGCGTGACAAAATTAGGAGAATTGATGCAAGCGTGGTATGCAGATGACTCTGCAGCAGCAGGTACCCTGAAGAAACTCCGGCTGTGGTGGGATTTACTCAGTGTGAACGGTCCTAAGTTAGGCTACTTCCCTAAAGCAGTGAAGACTATTCTTATCCTAAAAGAAAAATCGCTACTACCAGCAGCCACGTTTTTATTCAGAGAGACTGGTATAGAGATCACATGTGATGGGGAGCGTCATCTGGGAGCAGTGATAGGTGGAGAGGAGGCTAGAGAGACATATGTAAAAAAGAAAGTAGAGAAATGGGTGAAGGATGTAGAAGAGTTGTCAGATATTGCCCTCGATGAACCTCAGGCAGCCCTATCAGGGTATACCAAAGCCCTATGTCATCGGTGGACCTTTGTGATGCGTACCATCCAAGACACTAAAGACCTCTTCATCCCATTGGAGAAGTGTATAAGAGAAAAGTTCATCCCTGCAATTATTGGTAGGAATGTGTCTGATCTGCACAGGAGAATGTTTGCGCTACCTGTAAGATTAGGGGGGCTTGGTATTGTTAATCCAGTAGAGATCGCGGAGAAGGAATACCAGACGTCACTCAAGATAACAGAGGAGCTGGTTGACCTTATCTATCACCAGGAGACATCCCTGATGAAGTTGGATAAAATTAAGATAAAGGGCAGAGTAGATTGCCTCAAGTTAGTTAAAGAATTACGCTTGAAGAAGGAGCTTGCTGAGATAATGAGTGAAGTGGATGAGAATACCAGGGAGTCATTGCAGCTGGTACAAGAGCATGGGTCAGGAGCTTGGCTAACATGTCTTCCCATTCAACAGCTAGGGTATGCTTACAGCAAGCAAGACTTCAGAGATGCTGTTCATCTCCGGTATGGTTGGGACATCCCTAACACCCCAAGATTCTGCGATTGTGGAGCCAAGAATGATCACAATCATATCCTCAACTGTAAGAGAGGGGGGTATGTGAACTACCGTCATAACAACGTGAGAGACTCCGTTGCTGAATACCTTAGGCTGGTGACCAAGGATGTGAGGATTGAGCCCCTTTTAACACCTATAGAATCGGCCAACTTCCAACAAAAGGGCAACAATGCTGATAAGGCTAGGCTTGATATATCAGCAAGAGGAGTGTGGAGCACATTTGAGAGGACTTTCTTTGATGTGCGCATTTTCAATCCTAAATCGCCTACATATCAAGGAAAGACCATGCCACAGCTCTACACTCTGCACAGGAATGAGAAAAAGAACCAGTACATGAACCGAGTGCTACAATTGGAGAAAGGGTCATTCGTCCCCCTTGTATTTACCACTACAGGAGGAATGGCACCGGAGGCCAAGCGTTTCATAAGGAGACTTGCTGTGTTGATAGCCACCAAGACAAAGGAGGACTACAGCCAGGTGATGTGTAACATCAGGACACGCCTGAGCATGGATATAATGAGGAGTGTGCTAGTAGCAGTTAGAGGTGTACGTGGAAAGGCAAAGAAGGCATGGACCGCCCCTATATCCAACGTCTCCTTCAACCTGATACCTGAGGAGAAGAGCTACGAGGGATAGATGATATCTATTGCTCAGGATTTACGATTGTGCTCTGCCAATTGCATCACTTGATTTAATTTATTGTATATATGCAATTGGCGGAGTGAACAGGTGTTGAGTAAAAAAAGAAGAAACATTGTCAGTCAGTCGAGAAAATTGTCAGTCAGGCTATATGGCAGCTTTGTAGATGTTGTGACTATGCTAGTAGTGGTCCCAGGCTTGCGACTGGAATTGCGGTGTTAAATCGATTTAATGGTATACCAACGATCCACCTCCCGCTTGTTGTTTGGTACTTAGCATTAATAGTGTTAGCTGTAGCCATTTATAGCAAGAATCTTAAAACCAAAGGGGATGACAAGGAAAAGAGGAAGGAAAAAGAATAACAGAACAAACAATTAATTAAAGTATTTATAGGAGCATTAGTTATTGTAATTACAAGCTTCAATAATAAATCACTGACTAAAACTTCTAATTAAAATGACACTTGGTACGCTCGCCCATTTTCACTGGTCAGTCTGAACTTCGGTTTAGCACGTTGTTAAACGAGTTTTGCGAGATAATATAGCATGCTGACTTTGTAGGATATTACAATTATACCCGTGCCAGTTCCAAATGTGAGTCAGCGCCTAAACCAAAAGCAGTTGGCAAAAGGAGCCAGTTGCCTGCAAGAGCTTTACTAGCACCCGATTTACAACTTTTGAAGCACAAACTCACACCTAAAACCGGCCGAGCACAAAGATATGTTATCGCCACGATTGGGTGGATTGATTCCCAGAATATTTATCAGCACGCTGCACTAATAATATGAAGTTCATTATCGAACATTAGATAGGCCTGATGCCCAGTGACATAAATTTAAAAAGGGACTAGGAATCCAGTCTGGAAAGAAAAAACGGCTACCATATATTTTTAAAACGACAACCATAAATTTTTCGGCCGCTCCGGCCGGATAACGATTTCATTTTACTTTGCTAGTTATATTACAGAGGTTTAGTTATTCATTAGTATAGTTATTAATTCATTAGTATAGTTATTCATAATTGCCAAAAGATTGTGAAAGAATTCCTTTCCGGGTCTCGAACTCGCGATCTGCTAATGTAGTACCGACGGATTAACCAACTAGGCTACGATTCCATGTACGCTTTTGTAATATTTACATATAGGTCTTCGCGCGTTCCTGCAACTACCATACTACCATACTACCAAACAGTCCATACTACCATACTGGTAGTAGGAAAATCTTGGATCCTGACAGGAATATCTTGGATTATTTGGTAACGCGCAAGTTAAGCGCAAGAACTAGGAATCTGCAGGAATCTGGCATTTGCGCTCGATTCGAACATCTTCTCGGATAAATATAGAATTAAAGTACAGTGCGCGGCGTTACAGTGTGTAACAACCAAGAGCGACTATTTATATTTTAAAGTTGATTTAATAATTATGTTGACAAAAATTAGTCGGCGTGGCTATGGAAATTAATATGGCTAGGAATTAGATTCTTAGATTCCTCACTTTATGTCACTGGGGCCTGATGGATCGTTAAACATATATAAAAAGGTTATTAGAGAATAACTAATGTTTGGTAGTTGGTAATCGATATTAATCAATTATTTAAAATAGTATTTGTGTTTGTTATTATTGTTAACTTTAAATGGATCACTATGCAATGAAACACACCAGTTGTTACAAGTAATTATCAAACCCCACAGACAACATGTTTGTGGTACATTCTGAAATAGAACACAATTAGTATATATTATATCGACTATCATAAATATATAAACCAAATATATAGCAATTCACAATCTCCCGTTCTTTCTTAAAAAGGCTTTGAAAGATTTAAAATATTAAATATAAAATAAAGGTGTCACAAGAAAGACTATAATCTTTCTAAATATAACTTCCCTCTTTGTGGATACATGCACAACATGTAATAGAAAATCGTTTTAAACGAGCACATTATATAAATCACAAATACCAATATATTCACTCTTTTAACTTCTTTAAGTTTCAAATTATTAAGATTATTAAAATCCTTCACACACAATATTAAAAACTTTGAATACAATGTTTATTATTGGAATACAATTCTAAACAGTTCATTGTCAAATTCTCCTGACGACAATACCTCCCGTAGCAGTGAAGTTGGAGCTCCAGCTTTAGTCAAACTATCTGCAAGCTGTTTCTTTGTTGAAATCCAACGAACTGTCATTTCACTATTGTTCACTCGCTGTCTCAGGCAAGCTATTGGTATCCTCAATCCCTTGTCATCAACATTTTTCGAGGTTTGGATAGCATCATGTAGAGACTTGCAATCAGTCATTACAATGACATCAAGTTTTCCAGATAACATGATCTCACTCAGCTGAGCTTGGATCAACTCACATGTTTCCACTGCTTCGATCATTGCCCAACTCTCTGCTGCTAAAGTACTTTTACATACTCTCCGGATTTTTCTACTCTGCCATGTAATGGGGCAAGATTTTCCTGTAAGCGAAACAAGGAAAATTATGAAGCCTCCCTGAGAGCTACCATCCTTCAAGTTTCCATACGATGCATCACAGAAAACCACTAAGACTGACTCAGGCAACAGTAGTTTCTTAAACCTGAGTGTTAGAGGATTCTTTTCTAAGAACTTTACTGTTTTGTTTACCATTTTCAAATCTGCGATGGTCCCTTCAGTCACAGAATTACTAGCAAAACATGTAGCATAAGCTACATCTGGCCGTGTCTGTGTTGATACCCACAACAACTGTCCGCACACAGTTCTCAGTTGTTGCTTTTCTTTCTCATTGATTGGGAGCGTATTTCGATTCACTCGGGTGGGGTCGATCTCTATTCTTGAAATCTGGTCTGCATACCCCAGTTGTGATACCAGAATTCCAGATTGTGTTTGCTTTACATCAAGACCAGTATAAGCAAATTCAACTTCGACCTCCGTACTTAGACGAAACTTCTTCTTCAGTTCCCCAATAACTTCCCTTTCAAACTTCTTGCTTCCACTGAACATCAGATCGTCAACATGCACAGCAATGATACCCTCGAGTTTTCCTTCATCATACCAGAACATGAATGACTCATCATATGACGATACCACAACATTTAACTTCACTAGAGTATCACGAAGCTCAACATACCACATTCTAGGTCCGTCTACTAACCCGTAAATACATTTGTTCAGTTTCCAGATTTTCCTCGTTTCAGCTTCCTTCGGAGGAATAATGAAGACATCTCTTGAAATCTTCTTGCCTTGCAAGAAGGCAGCCTGAACATCGATGTGTTGTAACTTCCAACTTTCTGTTGCAACTATTGTAAGGAGCAGTCTTATAGAGTCCCTGTTACATGTTGGGGAGTCCTTTCGTATGTTGCTACTATTTTCTTGATAACCAAGTGCCACTAAACGAGCTTTAACAGAACCTTCTGCTTTCTTTGTAATTACCCAACGAACACCAACATTGGACTGTTCGTTTGCATCAACTTCCACGTAAACCTTGTTTACTTTGAACTTCTCAAGCTCTGCTAGCTTGGCATCTACAACTGCTTGGTCATACATACTCACACTGGACAGCAACACCTCTTCTTCTGTTTCTGGTGACAGGTCATCTCTCCAATTCACAGCAAGCTCATACCAATCCACACATTGGATGCTCTCCTCACCATCAAGTTGAATATTTACACAGTTTTTGTAACTGCCAGTTGATTTTCCCGCACGGCTATGGATATAAGCTTTATGCCAGATCTCACCATCCTCCTCTGGATACTTTGGAAGAAACTCCACGTGACTTCTTGCTTTAGGAAGTCCTGATTTGTGCTGAGGTCTGATTGTTGCTGTTGTCTCACTTTCTGTTTCCGGTACAGAAACTGCTGTTTCCTTAGAGCAAGATGGTTGATCCTCTAGGAAATTTCTCTGCGTCTCTAATGGGGATTTTGGTGAACTTGATACAATACTCGGGTTAGGTTGCCCAACAACTGACTCTGAGGTAATGGGATATCCTGTTGTTGTATCCCTGGTTAGATGACATGCACTGCACTTATAATACTGATTTCCATGCTTTAAAATATATAAATGAGTAATGTCTCTCCCCAGTATAACACCTGGCCCACTCCATTTTGCAGATCCTTTTCTCTTGTACATCACCTTTTCACCGTTGCTATAATACTCATCATTGCTTGTCCGAACCTGGCTTTGCAGAGCTCTACGTATCTTGTTGCTACTTTCACACTTTGCAAATGCTTGCCTTGCACTGTGCATTGCATTAACATTATCAGCCACGGTTTTACTCACCGTTGTTTCTTCTAAAGCTGGCAGTCTATCATCGATGACATTCGGAAGTGAAGGGTTACGGCCCATTGTCAACTGATTTGCAGAAAACCCACCAAACATCTGCATGGAGTTTTTCGCACTTAGTGCCCAACACAATGCAACTTCCCAGTTGCATTTTGAATCTTCCTTCGTTTTTACCATCATCTCTGTCAGCATCTTATGATGACGTTCTACAATCCCATTGCTCCAAGGGCTCTCGGCAGCTGAATTTTGCACATCCACATTGAATCTTTGACACATCTCAGTAAACTCCTCATTGGCGAACTCTCCACCATTATCAGCCATGAATTTCTTTGGATTTCCAAAGATGGATATCCATCCAGAGCAAATTCCTTGGATGATTGTCTCTTTCTTCTTATTGTAGATTATTCTAGCTGCTGAATATCTTGTCACCGAATCAATCATATGCAAGATATACACATTAGGAGTGCCAGGAACATTCTTAAGGTCCATTGCAACACATTCGTTGAACACCTTTCCTCTTGGGAGACCCACCACTGGTCTTGACTTGGGTTTCTTGTACATCAGACATATTTTACAACTGCTGGATACCTCATCAATTGCTTTCATGTATTCTGGTCTCTTAAATCCTGCAGTTTTCAGCAATGTTTTCAGTTTATCACTAGGAGGGTGTGAGAATTGTTTGTGGATTTTTTCCACTTTCCTCCTAATCTCCTTTTCGTCAGTACCAAACAAACCTTCTTCGCTGATTGTCATCACCAGATGTGGGGTCTTTCGATCTGGCGGCCCAATGGTCATGCGTCTTTTATTACAAAGAGGAACGCAATAGTGCTTTGATTTAGTTTCAAACAAATCAACACAATCTCCATTGAATCTCATTGTATCATTTGTGAAATCCAACACAGCACCAGCTCTCTTTAACGATGCTTTACTGAGAAGCAACGGCAGTTCTTTCTCAACAATGTTTGCTTCTATTCGAACATCTGTCTTTCCTATTCGCCCAGGGATGATAGTCTTTTCTGTGGAAATGACTTCGAGTCCATCCCCAAATCTAAAAGGCGTCGAGCAAGGTTCACTAACCATCATTTTCAGTTGTTTTTCTTCCAGAGTTTCTCTGTAGTGATTCACCCAGTTCCTACCAACAACTGTCTTTGTACATCCGGAATCAATAACTGCACATGCTAATGACTCATATACAAGAGAACCAAGGTTCGTATCACTCATCAGGCACTCTTCAGGAATCTCAACAACATTTTCAGATTCAGACACCACCATGAATGTTAAGAATGCACCCTCTGCTTCCATGGCCGTAACATTCTCAGCACCATCTTGTGCGAAATACTGTGCATTATCTGTTGAACTTGAAGAAGCTCTGTTCTTGCTTGTGCACCATCTTGCAATATGGTTTTTATCGCCACAAGCATAGCATCCAGTATACGCACTCTTTTGTCGATTATACGGATGATGATGATTCCCACGTCCTCTTGACATCCTTCTGTAGTTTCCTCGTCCACCTCTTGGGGTTGAGTTGTATGTATAGTTACATTCCTCATGTTCCACCTTCACTGATATTGACGCAGGCGGTGTAACTATTGAGTTACGTTCGATTGAAATATTAAAACACTACGGTACTACATTTCACTAAACAAAACGACGGGGACACAGAAAGGAGAAGGACATTACACATCATACGGACGGAAGCTGCTGCTGAGTTGACGAGTATCTGATTGTATTAATTATGGGTTTCTTGTTCATTAAAATAAGTGTGATCATACTTGTAAAGTATATTGGGCTGACACAGCTGCTGCAAGGTTAACATTGGGGTCCAAAGCCGGGAGTGTGATACACGTTAAATTCAGTTTTTTATGGGCGTGATTAAAAATCGCTCGCGCAATACAATTACACATGAGCGCTGACATTTGACCGGCAGTAACTTCGGCTAGGAACAATATTTTTCCATGGGACCAAAAGCAGCAGATAGATATCACTCACCTCTATCAGAAACAACTATCAATTTCGAGAGAAATTTCATAAAGACCCCCCCTCCCTGCCCCCTTAAGGATCTTGACCCTGTAATTGTATTGTAGTTATTTGGGCTAAAAGTTTTATATGGACACTGGTGACGTGACCTCTAGAAGAGCAGTTTTGGGATTGTGTTAAGCAGCAGCTGTATAAGCTCTTTAAAAAATCCAATCAAGCCCCAATCTTGAAGAAAAATGTGTGTGCCAAATGAACTGGTACCTAATGAAGTTTTGCCCTGGAATTGTATACATAGATGCTGGAGCATTACAGCACGTGATTTGCATAGTGTTTAATCTGGGGTAAGTTATTTACAAAAGTCACTCGTTCACCTCTTTTTGAGACACCCTGTATATTAGTTATACTAGCAGGAACCCGTCTAACCCTAAAATGGTGTCAAGACTCAAGAGACTAAAACAATTATTACCTATTTAATTCGCGTTTTTGACACCTCTTGGGGTACCAAATTTTGGGCTCTAAAACTCCTATTTCTTGGCCAATTTTTTATTTTCTCATGCTGATTTGAAGGCCATTAAAGCATTTGACCCAGTCAAAAAAGTTTCAGTTGTATATCTTTTACGGTTTTTGCAGAAATTCGCGTTAAAGTTGATGCCGTGGTGTCAGTAAAATGGCACAGATAAATATATATATATATTTTTTATGTGCCATTTTACTTAATTTTTATCAGCAGATTTATAAATCTGCTGTTCATTTGTAGTTATTACCTTGCTAGTTATGAGTAAATTTTTGCCTTCCATCAATTGAGTGCAGCTTTCAGTTTTAAAATTTTCAGTTTATTCAGATTTTTCGTTTTCGATATTGCAAATTTTTAATAAATCATGTTCAGATTATGGTGATAATGGATGTAAAGGTACTTCAACCGAATTAACAATCCAACCGTGTGTATGACGTGTCCCAGTAGCCAATCATAATATATATATATATATATATCGTCTCGCTTTTATATAGTAAGATATAGAAATTATCCTTGGTTTTTTTAAATTTATTCTCAAAATAGGTAAGGTTACCCCAGTATTTAAAAAAAAAGGAGACCCACAGCTGTTTGACAACTACAGGCCTATATCCATTCTACCTATCTTTGGTAAGATATTTGAAAAAGTAATTTACTGCCGACTATATAGCTTCTTTACTTCACATATGGTCATATACGATAAACAGTTTGGATTCAGATCCAACCACTCAACGGCACATGCCATCAATTACTCCATTGACCACATTCTTAAAAACCTAGAAAGTAAGAATCATGTAATTGGTATATTTATTGACTTAAGCAAAGCGTTTGACACAATCGACCACAGAAAATTACTTGTCAAACTTGAACACTATGGCATAAGAGGGCCCTGTCTTGGCCTAATTGAAAGCTATTTGTGTAACCGACAGCAGTATGTTGATTTCCAAAATACACACTCTGATCACTGCAAAATTGAATATGGGGTACCACAGGGATCAGTTCTAGGCCCTCTCCTCTTCTTACTCTACATTAATGACATTACTAACTCTAGCCAACTTGGACACTTCATACTGTTTGCAGATGACACGAACATATTTGTTGCTGGAAAAACTGAACAAGAAGCCTATTTGAATGCTAATAAAGTACTTGAATCTGTAAATAACTATATGGAATCTAACTTGCTGCACATTAACCAAAGCAAATCGGTCTACATGTTATTCAGACCTGGCAGGTACTCGTCCTATGCACGTGCTTGCGAATATGGCTCTGAGAACTCACTCACGTTATCAGGCACCACACTTACACGAGTAGATAAAGTGAGATTCCTTGGTGTTATCATAGACCATGAACTATCCTGGGAACCCCAACTAGATAACATAAAAAGTAAACTAACTACAAGTATAGCTATAATTAAACGTATTATGAAGTTTATTCCAGAAACAGAGTACCATAAACTGTATGACTCCTTATTCAAGTCTCATATGAGCTACTGTATCAGTAGCTGGGGTGGTGTCACACCTCATAGACTATCTAAACTGTTCTCCATCCAAAAAAGATGCGTACGCCTTCTATTTGGAAGCAAACCAAGCTTTGACCGGGCAGAGTACTATGAAACATGTGCACGTGCAAGACCATACAGTGAACACATCGCAAAAAGGAGCTTTGCTTTGGAAAACACTAAGCCAATATTCAATACCGAGAAAATCATGTCAATCCACAACCTGTACATCCAACATATATCCACTGAACTGTTTAAAATCTTGAAACTGCATCAACCCATCTCTCTGACAAGTTTATTCCAAGCAAGTTCCAGAACATGTAGCCAAACTATGCGGGTCCCCCGACACAAACTTGACATTTCTGAACACAATTTTGTCTTCAAAGGTACGACTATATATGGAACAGTTTGATTGATAAAATATTCGAAAAATGCACTCCTAATGAAAACAATGTCATGGTCCCTGGCTCTAGTAAATTTTCCGACCTTTCCTCCCCCATCTCAATTATCAAGAGCCGTATCAAAAAGCTGTTACTGGAAACCCAGCAATTGACAACACCTGGGCGTGAAATTGAGTGGCTCCCCCTAAATAGCTGGGGCATTGAACCAGCTTAGTTGATCAGCATCCCATCCCTTGCATACAATTAATTACAAAAGCGCTAATTATACCTGTTTCAAAAGCATCCTGTCTGGAAGTTCCCTGACTGCCGTGTGAATCTTTGGATCTATTTTTGGATCTATTTTTATATTGATATGACTTTTATATACCTATATATATATTCATCGCATGATTTCCATGTCCGCCTGAACAAACCTGGCACCATCAAATCTTATCTCTAGAAACCCCAGAACTCATCAAGCCTAGTCTGAATTCAAAACTAGTTGACCAGCTACGTACAGTTTCCTGGACAACTGGAACCTTTTTGGGCCATGCAGAAGCCAATAGCATGTATGGTCCTGCAGTGGGGTCTCCTTGTCCTTGGATCTGTGTTTTGATCCGTCTTTTCTTAAAATTTTCCATATGTGTCACTTAGACTCACCTATTAAATGTTAATCGACACCACTGGTCCTAGTTAGATTTAGCCATGGCACAACTACTCAAACGTAACAGTTAAATAGGTTTGACATACTATTATATTCTTATAATTATATCATATGAATTGATTGCACTGCTAATAAATAAAATACTTTGTTTTACTAAAATACTTTGTTTTACTATAACAGCTTAAGTTCAATAGTTGCCTCATTCTCTCAATGTACATAGTAGGCCGAGCATCAGGTTAATGCACTGTGGATGAATGGGTGAATATACATTTCTATTGGCTTACTTGCCAGGCCCAGAATGCAAGCACAGGCAGCAGAAATGGACAAAGTCAAAAACTGACTAGATGATATGAAAATTGCAAATATATTATTATTAATTGCAGATCAACAGAAGAAAACTTCAGATAAGAAAACATGAATATCATCTATTTTTCCATTTTGTGTCCTTAAAGTATCCTGTTTTTTAGTTTGGGCTCTACAAATATGATCAGCATGGTCATTGTTCATTGATTTACAATATTTCTCCCAGGACTACAGCTAGCTATGTGATATACATTGAAGAGACTGCTGTCCTTCATCTGCAATGTCGGGGGCTAAGGGACAGAGATATGAGAGACTTTTCGAATCAGATGAAGAGGCTCCTCCTCACGAGCAGGTTCAGCACAGCATTTTTTATTTCATTTTGAAAATCTTGGACATCAAAAAATTGTAAAAAAACGAGGTTCAAGATTTTCAAAATCAACTTCTTCAAATTGTACAAATGATTTAAATTAAGGTGCAAAAATCATAATAAATAAAAGGAGTGCAAATCATAGCATAGCTTAAAATTACAAATACAAACATTTCAGATTTTGATGAGTCATGACTCGAACAAATGGAGTCAGATCCTGAATTTAGACGACTTTTTCACCCGAATATACCACTACCATCAAAACAACGGGTTCTGGTGTATGTTCATTAACGACTTGCTGCAGCTTGTGTAAGTTTATTGCTTTATTGCATTGTGCCCGTTAATAATCTGTCACTAAATTGGACTTCGTTATTTTATTCTAAGATGTTTTTTCCTGTCCACTTACAAGATTTAGCAATATGATTTGATTGATTCTGATCTATAAAATCAAATTTATATACTCAAAATTTGTGTATGATGAGAGCAACATCATTCAATACTATGGAAGGATAAATAACTATTTTAATCATGAAACCTATTATAATATAACCTATAGGTATTGTTCATGTCGATACTGCACGAGTTCATTACGCTAATTGTATCTTTTCAGACAATTTGCGTTTGTGGTGTTTTTCGTGGTATTTCTGTCGTGTTGTATCAACTATGATGAGCTAGGAAGAAGTGATCCGGATTTATGGGATGCTATTGACTGGAGCGGTTTAACAAGGTGACCATTATCCTGTAATATTGGTGTTTTTATCGTTATTTTGAAGTATTTCAATAAGTATTCTCATAGTCTCATTCAACCACTCTTACACAACTTACCTGTTATATCCCCAGGATTCATGGTTTTGTGTTTCTGTTGGCGGTTATAGCTATCTTCTATTGGGGCTGGAAGTGTTTCAAATTCATCTGGAACACCACAAAATACTTAGAAATAAAACTCTTCTACAAAGATGTCCTTAAGATCAATGAAGTAAATAGCTTAAAGTTATTATGATTATATAATACATTTCAAATTACTTTCATTTTACATCTTCTCCATTTTACCGACATCATATTTCTGGTTTTCTTCACCAATTACCATGCACAACATTTGAACTGAATGTGCCCCCTTAAATGTCTTGGTGCCAAGTTTTGTTTAAAATTATGTGCTGTGGCAGTGATTGTATTCAAATGGTTTCTTATTTCATAGATATCACAAATATACAGTACTCTTTAAATTGACTAGTTACTTTCCAACGTGCTTGCACACACATCGGAGAGGCTAAACTCAGAATCGATGGGGTTAACGCATTTCCCTGCGTGCATGTTTACTGTTTTTACTCCTAAATGTTCAATATCAGTCTTCTTATATGGGAATTACTGTTCAATACAACTCAGGTCACATTTTATGTATATACTTGTTAAAATAATAGTATATTTTTTTCAGGATGATATCAGTAATTTAGATTGGCTGGAGGTACAGTCAAAACTTATTGACTCCCAAAAAGAAGTTCAGTTGTGTTTACACAAAGAAAATCTTACTGAATTAGGTTTGTTATAATTTGATTATTTCATATTTAATATGTTTATTTGGCTCTAGAGAATGTTAATAATAACAATATTGCAGAGTGTGGCAGACACAATATTTTGTCTGTAAGCCCAGCAAATCAGTTCAGTTTGTTCATTACAATCACACTGATATTCTTTCAAGCAGAAAACCAAACCAAGCATAAAACCAATAAATAAAAGGCGTTGTTATTAAGTATTACAATAATTGTAAGTGTGTAATTTTACAGATATATCAAATCGTATCCTGCGGACGGTGAACTACAAACTAGCAATGATTAACAAAAATGTGCTTCCTTACTCCTTCGAGTTTCCACTTCTTGGACAGAGAGTGTTTCTTTCCAAAGTGCTCATGGCCAACTTGGAATTTATTATCTTTACTGGTCCTTGGGCCCCTTTCAAGTAAGTCAAAAATAGATTTAGATTGATTAATTGTTGTTACTTGTCAGAAAATGTATGGCAATTGTGCCATCATCAAGTCTATAAAAAACAGAACACACAGTTTCAACTGATAAATATAATTCTGTTATCATTATTTTAGTAATATCTGATTTACATTATCTTATCATGGTTAAGTGACAAATTGGTTGTTACAAGTTATAAGTTAGGTTTGATCAATAAATTTCAGAAACAGTTGGAAGTTGGACGAAAGGTACAAGAAACGAGAGTCTAGAGAAGTTCTAGCGGAACGTCTTACTAAATACATCTCATATCTGGCGTTCTTTAACTTCCTTCTCATGCCTTTCATCTTCGTCTGGCAGTTCATTTTCCACTTAGTCCACTACGCTGAGGTAAGAAATAAATCTTTTATTTGGTTCTATTATGTTGAAAATAAACTGCGAGTACATCACATGAGAACAAAACATGCTCGGTCGCATAGATTTTGTCTCAAAAACGTACGACGCATTGCAAGATTTGTATATAAATTCTCTTTTTCAAAACTAAGTTTGATATCCGCGCGCGCGCGCGCGCATCACGTGACCAAACAACTCTTGTTAACTTTTGGTTTCTATTTTAAACTCATATTATATCACTCAGGTCTCAGTAAATTAATAAATTGATTATGATATAACCTAACTACTGACATATTTGATCATTCCCTATTAGGGTATTAACTAATTTGTAACATATTTTGCACACGAAGATCCTAAAAACGTTTCCGTACCCCTATCAAATGATTGAGTTGGACAGGGTTGTCCAGTAATTGATAAGTACACTTCAGCAGTCGCGAGTTTTCGTAAATAAAGCGGCCAAAAACATTGGATCTACACTACGCATCTGAAACAGGAAAATAAGATAGGTGATGCTGTGATCGTCTTTCTTGTGAACACTTGTGGCGAACTCATTTTGTCAACAATTTCCTCATCAACCCTTGAATATTAACTAACCTGTGAAATATTTGAAAAATCGGGTGATAAAATGCATTTCTCAGCTCCTGCTTCACTGTTTAAACCGTCTTTTCTAATTCTTTTCCATCCACGACGCGCGCTCTGTATAATTATTTTACCGATATTTATAATAACTCTACTTACTGTAAAACCATTAATTTCTGCGCGGAATTTATTTTCGCGATTATTTTATTCCTATTATTTCTTCATACTGTATTTATAATTTAAAGAAAGATTAGAAAAGTATTTTTGTAATAAAATTAGCCATACAATTTAATTTCCAGTCAAGCTTAATATAATAAAGTCAAGCTAAAGTGATAAAGCATACATACAAAGCGAGATTTAACAGATGCTCTAATATCAGCAACGTACGAATGAACACTGTCTCTGTGATCATTCAATGATTTCGGGCTGTCCTATAATTTCCAATATATTTTTGGGTTGAATAGTTCCACCTAATTCACATCTGCGACCTGCGTACTTTTACACCGTATCTCTGAATAAAATACATCTATATTGTCCTCTCTTTTCTTACATCGCAAACTCCCTGCCAATTTCCCCGATAAAGTTGCGACGTAAGACCGCATGTCGGCTCTCCTGGTCATGTAGACCACTGGGTTACACGCAGAATTTAGTGGTAGTAGAATGAAGTATGAAATGTTCATCAGTTCATCGGGAACAAGTTTTATATGTAATGCATAGTCTTCTGTTATAATACAGTATGATGTAATGCCTACCACTACAATATAAGTGATATTGCAGATGCAGTATATAGCTGAAATTATCGCAATTGTGACTGTTGCTTTTCTTTTCCAACTTGCAGTATGCCTCTGTGACACAAAAAGCGTTTCCAAGCTTATACAGCTAGCTAAAACTACTATAATAAACATGGCAACTAGAATAAAAAGTTCGATATTGAAGAAAACTGCAAACAAAGTATTGATATCAATAGTTATAGACTTAATGAATTTTAGCAAATAAACTAATTGTGAAGCCATTATAAAGACGTTATAAACCAAAATCGAACCTTTGACTGCCGTCCAATTTATGATATAAAGAGGGAATCTCAAATTTATTGCCCTAACTACGGCCAATAAACAGGTAAGAAATGTAGTTGCGAACAAAGACGTTCTTAAGATAAAAGCAGCTACTTCCGTTAGCCATGCGACGTTGTTGAAAAAGAAATAAACTACGACTACAAATGTTGATGACACGCTTACAATAAGATCAAATATGTTCAGTGCAGCGAAGAGTTTCGTTGTCAGACGAAGAGTATTTCCACTCTGAACTTTAGGAGTAGATCTGATCGAGCCGATGAAATAAGATAGCGATAAGCTGTTTGATATGGTTCCAATTATCGCTATCAGAATGCTAACACCGAATATAACTTCCTTTGACATGTTGGATACCCCGGGAGAGTGTGATGTTTGTGGTTTTGTTTTACAGTTTGTTAAAGTCCAGACTGTGTGAACTTTGTGCCATATGTAACCTGTGAAAACTTTAGATTAGGTTATAAACATCTTCTTGACAATAGTGTCACTTTCTTGACAAACGTATCTGATGTGGGTTTTTGAATGAGTGCGTTTTAAACACTTCCGCACCGTTTTAACTGCAACAGCAGAAGCAACATTTAAGTGCGGCAAAATGTTTCGAAAAAGTGGGATTCCTCATTCCGCACCTGCCTAAAATTGTTTAAGGTGCCTCAAATTTGGCGAATAGTGCGGCAAGTATGGGCCTTGCTGGTCTGGGCCTAACTGACGTCTTCAAAAATGGCTAAACAACTTGCTGACTTAATGTTTGAAAATATGAACGCTCCCTAACAAGTAAAATCCGGATTGGAATATTATTTATGAGTCGCATAGTTAAAATGTTTTCTTGGGTAAAATTGTATTGATCCCGTTTGATGCGACAAGGAAAAGCCTCTTATCAGGAAAGGAATTATTCAACGTTTCAATGTGACAACATCGTATTCATGATATAAAAATATTCTATCAAAAATTCAAAACGTAAAAAACATAAATCTGAGGCAAATTTAGTGTATAATTATTTACTTTTAATTAATATTTTACTTTTAATTCCATGTTGTCACATTGAAACGTTGAATAATTCCTTTCCTGATAAAAGCCTTTTCCTTGTCGCATCAAACGGGATCAATAGAAATTTACCCTAGAAAACGCTCCCTAACGACTAAGAGATCAATACAGTCTTCAATACAGTATGACAATGATATAAGTTATCTCACAGCATATAGGTATGATAATGTGATTCTCCTTAAGCTGTGACTTGTAAGGGTACAATCCTCACGTTGGATTCATTGGGATATTTATAATCTACTCACCAAATAAATTTGGTGTCCTTTTACCTAAAATGTATACCATCTGGATTCTCAAATCATTGGTATTTAAATCATTGGTTTAAATGTTGCAAATTGCTACTCAGCAGTCATATTTCATCAAAAATAGGTTATATTTAGAAAATATTGCTATGATTTGGCGGCAAGATTCTTTCCCCTCATTCGGTATATCAGGAGGGAGAGGCGGGATAGTCGTCTGAATTCGGTCTGGCTTTAATATCCGGTTACTGTCCAGTTCAAAAGCTGTTTATCCGAGAAACGGCTTAAAGTGCGAAAATGTGTGGCAAATATTGCGATTCCGCACCTGTCTTACTTATGAAGTTATGATGCCTCTATGCAACAGTGAAATCCCGACCGAACGATTTGTGGTCGGATTCCATAATCTCTCTTACAATTGAGACACAAAATCAAAACAATTTGATAAATGAATCAATAGTATTTGTTTAAAACAGCATGGGTAGGAAAACAAACTTTTAACCTGGTAATCTTGTTGCCTGCACAAGAGCAATTCTAACTGCACATCCACATATTTTGGGAACAAACTTATATGAATCCTATCTGCACAACACTTAATGTTGTCTGTACACTTTTCTCAAGGTATGTAAACCAGTATAGACATCACGTGTAAACTCACGACGAAAGGAGTTATTTTCTAATCAAACAAAAGACACACTCTAGTTTAATTTAGTTGATTCGATTTTAATTTCGGCGCTCTTTGCCAATTAAAAACATTTTTTCAAGTGAACATCGACATGCGACTACCTTACTTTGGATTATTACGACGGGTTTATTAACGACCGGTTAAAATATGGTTCGGGAAAAATATGGCGAAATTGCTCAAAACCCATCACATTTTCCCGGTCGCCATTTTACCGGTGTCCAACCTTTTAATTTTGTCTCAGATGTAAATTTCCTTATTAGAGATAAGCAAGTTTAGAAATTTTCGCATTGCTAAAACTTGTGAAACAAGTCGAATTATCAATAATTGTTGAAAGTAGACGGAAATAATGACTCGTGGTTAATCAAACTAGATGGAAAATAATTTTAAACATTAGAAGCGTAACAACCAGATCGATATCTTACTATATATAAAGCGAAACGATATATATATATATATATTTATTTATCCGTGCCATTTTACTGACACCACGGCATCAACTTTAACGCGAATTTCTGCAAAAACCGTCAAAGATATACAACTGAAACTTTTTTGACTGGGTCAAATGCTTTAATGGCCTCCAAATCAGCATGAAAAAATAAAAAATTGGCCAAGAAATAGGAGTTTTAGAGCCCAAAATTTGGTACCCCAAGTGGTGTCAAAAACGCGAATTAAATAGGTAATAATTGTTTTAGTCTTTTGAGTCTTGACACCATTTTAGGGTTAGACGGGTTCCTGCTAGTTAAGATAAAGGGAGAGCTGTTTAGTCTTCCAATAAGTTGTAATCATCTTCGATATCTTCATCTGGATCATCCCTTTCATCACCCCCCCCCCCCCCCATCGTTCACATTGTTTAGAATTATGAATAAATGACTGATGAAACTGATTCATGCCCTTCATGTTATTGACAGTTTTAATTAATTCAAGTTTTAATTTAACTATTACTTTTACTTTGAGTCCTATTTCATTATGTAGAGATCTAAGAAATTAAAAATTGGCCTATTTAAATCAACTTTGACAATAAGGATATATGACAAGAATTGGGCAAAAAGGTGATTTTTTGCAATTTTATCCAAATGAAGTCGAAAAACCTACAACAAGTGTCCCAATAGTCTTCTTTATTGAATATAAGACAACGATAAAATATGAGCACCCATACCCCTTGGAAACCCTAAAAGCTGAGACGGCGGGTTTATTAACGACCGGTGAAAATGTGGTTCGGGAAAAATATGGCGAAATTACCCTAAACCCGCCACTTTATCCCGGTCATAATAATCGAGTAAGGTATTTGATTTCATGTACTCATCACTATCTAATGAACATTGAACAATAAATAAAAAACATAGTTGCCAAATTCACAACTATGAAGGCAAGAAGAATTTACAATTCCGC